TAATCATATTAATTTTCATAGTTTATTATAAATTCAAAATCTCACAACTTTATCAATTAAAACTTATAAGTAGGGTAAATATCAAATTAGTTCAATTAAAAGTCGGATCATTTACAGGTTGAGTCAATTACATGTCAGATTCATAATAGGTCGGGTAATATCAGTTATTTACCTGGTTAATCTCATATTCAGTTCATATCAGTCGGATGCAGGTCTAGTTCAGATCTAAATTTTCTATGTCCAACTCAGGTTCAAGTCAACGCGAGTTCGGATTCGAATCAATTTCGGACCACCACCACCTGGGTCATAAACAATTTTGACTCAAATCGATTTCCGTCAATTTTGCAGGTCGATCAGCTTTTTACATCCATAATCACAATATTGTTAAAACCAAATCATAATAAACATAAAATTTAATCAAGATTTAATCATGTCAAATCATAAAGATTAAAAATACTAAATGCAGAAGCATACCTGAATTAATTGATAATTTGAAATCTCTAAATATTTCTTTTGTTGTAATCTTTCACGAAGATAGATTTTTCTCTTACATAAAAACTCTCTGACGGGATAAGAGTAATACAAGTTAACATATTTCTTGGGAACCACTGCCTCTTTATAGATGGGTAAACTACATAAATAGTCACTAATGTTTGAGTAAGTTTTATTTTTCCCACAGAAGTTTCAAAACTGAAAAATTAATTGTTAATATTATCAATTTTTAACAAATCAGTCACTCGACGTTGATAACTATTATTGAGGATTACGGAATGTTGTGGTGGCTTGTTAAACTGGTGTCTTGTCATTGTTTTGCCACACGAGACTGCCACAAGGATGGCCGTTTAACTTCCAAAATCTTTCGACTTGTATTTAAGAAAAAAGTTGAAAATGTTCCTCTTTTCTCTTTTCTCTTTTCTTCTCCACCATGAATCGAAGAGTATTGTAGAGCTCACCGGTTCAACAGCTGATGACCAAAAATCATCCTGACGGGTGAAGCATCAACACCATGCGGCCCCATTACTAGGTAGAGCATCAACACCGAAAATCCAACAATTTCTTTCTCAACTAAACGCTCAGGACATGATTTCCAATTCCATGGCAGTTTCCTTCTCTACAAAACGCTCATAACTTGGCTTCCATGGCAGTCTCTAAGGTCAACTCCTTACACTTTGGAAGTCAAACCCATATTAAATCATGCACCACTAGTGTGTGTACGTGTTCCCAAATGCACCCCTCTATGAGCTGAAGATGAAGACAGGAACAAGCTAAAGACAACCAATTTAGAACAATAGTTCAGCTGAAGATGAAGACTCTTGCAACAAAAATCAACAAGAAAGAGACAATAAGATGGCTTGTAAACATGCAATTCTAGGAGCTCATGTGTTCTTTTTTTACCTTGCAGACACCTTTGCTCGTACATATCATGTGAACCATTGCTTCTTTCTTGTCATGTCTCGTGTCTGTAAATCTATAAAGGAAGGGAGCATCAAGGTTGTCATCACCCATTTTATTCGGGTGAAGGCATTAATATAAACCTTATATTAGTATACATCTACCATATCCTTAGGAAAATCCATATCCATTTATTAAATGTAAGAGTCCATTTCATTTAAATCCATACACAAGTTCATTCATATTACAAAAATACAAAACCCGTTCAAAAATAAAAGCCCTAAAGCCCATTACACCCTAGCCCATCATGTTACAAATTCAAAAATCCTTGGGGTTTGTTGGTGATGTTGCCGCCACTTCATCTTTTGGGGAAGAAGATTTCGTTTGAATTTTACTTTGGGAAGACAAGCATTTAATGAGCTCTTTCTTTTTGGTGGTGCCATGTCACCTATCTTAATGAAACAAAACCAAATGTATGAGAGCCCTTGATGAAGACTTGATCCAATGGTCTCCAAATAGTGACACGTCAGCAGTCTTGGTGAAGAAGCACAAATGCACGAGGGCCTTTGACAAGGTTTTGATCTAAAGGCTTCAAATCGTGCCACGTCATCGATCTAAAGGAGAAAGCCAAAAGTAATCCTAACCCTTTATAGAGACTTTGATCCAACGGTCAAGCTTCACCACCGTCATCGGCTGTTCGACTCATCGATGGTGTGTTTGGCGCCTCACCAGCGCGTGCATCACACTCGCTGCCATTCTTCCGTTCTCCAGTCACCCGTCGCCGTCTGAACATGAAAAAAACACAAAAAAAATTCAAAAAATAGTAGAATGCCAAAGAATGTTCTAGCAAATGATCCTAATCGAATCATCAACCAACTTCGAGTGGGAAATGCAAGGATGCTAACAAACTCTAATCATCTTCATTAGTATAAATACGGGCTCAACGATTAGCAATAATCACTCATCATTTAGTACACCATTATCAAGTGTAGTACCAAGCTACTTGTAAAATCGAAGAGGATGATAACATACTTTCTCTTTCCTCGATTCAAAGTTTCGTTCGAACCAATTGACTGTAATTTTTCTTCTATTGCTCAGAGGGAACACTTAATCCAGAGATTTTCACTTTCTTTTTTTTTTGCTTAAAATAAAATAATGACGGTTTCTACTTTACGAAACCGCTTATATTATCGAAAAAAGTGATACTTTCTCCAAGTATAAATATTTATCCAAAAGTTTTAGTACTTTCTTGCCTTTATAATTTTCCACTTTTTAAACACATAAGTACCGATATTTATATAAGTATCAATACTTACTAGATATTAGTTTTTCGGTTCTGCTATTTTTTAATTTTTTTAATGGTTTCAACATAAAATATTAGAAATAAGGTAATATTTCTGGTCGCGAACAACCTAAATTCTTATGTTTTTTTCTCACAATTCTGGTCACATTTGTTTATACTATTTTTTTAATTTTATATTAGGTTGTCTTTCGACTTCTTTAAAAGCCTTCCTATTTTATTTTTAGAGTAAATTACGCAAATGATCACTTAACCATTAGGTTGGTATCAATATGACCATCATACTTTAAATTTTATTAATATGATCACATAAATATTTAAGTGATTTCAATCAAACCACCTATAGTTGACATTTAACAAAGGTACTGACGCGATAATTAACAAAATTATTATAATTACACATTTGATCTTCAATAATTATACATTCAATCAATTTAGTCATAATTTTAATAATTTAAACCTCCAATCAAGAGATGACATGTGTTAACATATAATAGTGACATTGGTATTAGTTGACACATGTCAACATATGATTGGATGAATTTTTTATTAATTTTAATTTAAATAATTGAAGTTACTTTTTGTAATCAAATAGTAACACGTGTCACTATTTGATTGGACTAAAAATAAATTGGAGATAACATACGTTTAGAGGAGATTGAAATTACATCCCTAATTTAGAAATCATCGCCAAGCCACTAGACCAAATGCTTCAATTTATCCATTATTTATAACAAACTTTATTTATCTTATAATATTATTAATTATAGAAAAAAATCATTCAAACCTAGACCAATTATAAAATATAACAAAACCTAAACTAGTTAAATAAATATAATATTATTTTATAATTAATTATATTATATATTTTTGAAATTTTAAAAATAACTTTAATATTTTTATATTTCTAAATTAAATTCAATATTTTTTATATTTATATTTTATATACTAGATTCAATACTTTTTTTAAAAAATACTTATTTTAAGGCAATTTTAGAATTAAAAATAAATTTAATATTTTAGTATCTTTAAACTAAATTCAAAAAATTTTCATACTTATTTTTATATTTACTTTTAAAAATATAAATATGAAAAATATTAAATTTAATTTAGAAATATAAAAATATTAAATTTATTTATAATTTTAAATCTTACATTAAATACAATTTAATATATATATAATATTCAATTAAAAATAATATTATATTTGTTTAACTAATTTAGGTTCTCTTATATTTTATAATCGGTCTAAATTCGAAACTTCATTTAATTGATTTTATTTCTTTATTTTTTTTACTATTAACAATATTATAAGATAAATATAGTTTGTTGTAATTAGTGAACTAATTGAAGCAGTTGTTCAAGTAGTTTTTGGGTGTTCAATTTCCGACCAGGAATCCAAGTTCAATCCTCCCTAAATATACATTTCATTTCCAATTTGTTTTCAACATGAAGGCTCCCAACTGGACCTTAGATATTTATGCCAAAATAAATGGAAAATTTATTATATAAAAAAACACCTTTTAAGTTTTAGGGTAAACTACTTAAATGACCATTTAACTATAGAGTTGGTCGAAATGACCACCATACTTTCTTTTTTATCAATATGACCATATTATTGTTTAGGCGGCTTCAACCAAGCCACCAACCATTCGCATTTAATAGAGTTGTTGATGTGACAGTTAACAAATTTAATATAATTACACATTTGATACTCAATACTTGTACATTCAATAAATTTTGTCCTAATTTTAATTTAAATTAATAAAATAACCCTTCAATTAGGAAGTGGGACGTGTCAATATATGATCGTGACATGTGTTGTAATTGACACGTGTCATCCTTTGATTGGATAGAAAATAAATTTAATTAAATTAATTTAAAAAATTATTCAATCATATGTTGACACGTGTCACCTCCTATTTGAAGGGTTAATTTAATAAATTAAATAAAAAATTATTACCAAATTAATTGAATGTACAAGTATTAAGAATCAAATCTGTAATCATACTAATTTTGTTAACTACCACATCAGCACTTCTATTAAATGTTAATGGTAGATGGCTTACTTGAAATCACTTAAATAGTTGTGGTCATATTGACAAAATTGAAAGTATGGTGGTCATTTCGACCAACTCTATAGTTAAATGGTCATTTGAGTAGTTTACCCTAAAAATTAAAAGGTGTTTTTTATATAATAATTTTTCTGTTTATTTTGGCATAAATATCAAAGGTCCAGGTGGGAGCTTCCACATTGACTTTTATCTATAGATGTGAAGGTTGAATGTAAATAAACGAGACAAATGTATTTGGAAATAATTTCATTGTAATTTATAGCTTTTAACTTGTCTCATTGTGTCAATAACTAAGACAATTGCATTTTTCATTAATGCAAATCTGAAAAAAGAAAAACACGAACTAGTAAAAACACATTGGGGTAACTTTTCTGTTGGCAAAATCACGAGTAGAGTCACATCACTTTAAGCCTAGTAAGGAAGATGATTCCTTTGCCGTATCCTTCTCTGATCTCGGAGGCGAAATTCCCATGTTTATGAATGAAGGAGATGAAGAGGGAGCAGTGGTGGAAGTTGCATATGTTGACAGAGCACCGACATTACTGTTCAGGGTCATGGTTGTACTACTACCGGAGACTTCAGCGACCGGTTCTGGAGTCGGTAGCCTCTCGATATCGATGACTCCTTCTAACATCTGCACTACTTTTCCCATCATTGGCCTCTGTAGTGGTTGCTCCTGGATGCACCAAAAACTCACCAGAATTGCCCTTACAACCTGCTCTCTGTTGACTTGTTCTAGCCTTTTGTCGACAATGGCCTCGATGTTGCCCTTTTCGTACTCCGAATAAGCCCAGAGGGAGAATTTTTTTCCATCTGTTTCGGGTGAGACCTCGAAATTCCTTCTTCCACTCACTAACTCTAATAAAACCATCCCATAACTATAAACATCACACTTTGAGGTTATTGGAAGATTTGCAAGCCACTCTGGTGCCAAATATCCTCTAGTCCCTCTAATGCTTGCCAAAGTCAAGTACTTATGATCCTTTGGATTCATAAGCTTTGCTAGGCCAAAATCCGACACCTTAGCAGTGTGAACTTCATCCAACAGAATGTTTTCTGGTTTTATATCGCAGTGAATTATGCAGTCTCGACATTCCTCATGAAGATAAGTTATTCCCCTAGCCGTTCCAAGGGCGATGTTGAATCGATTTTCCCAATTCAACGATTCCTCTGGTGTAAAAAGGAACTTGTCAAGTGAACCGTTTCTCAAGAATTCATACACTAGAAGCCTGTGACGCCCTTCGGCGCAAAACCCCACCAGTCTCACCAAATTCAAATGGTGTGTACTGCTAATAGTTGCAACTTCCATCCGGAATTGCTTCTCACCTTGCTCGATTCCCTCGAGTTGTTTCACAGCAACCGCCATTCTATTAGTCAGTATTCCTTTGTAGACAGCCCCGAAACCACCTTTTCCAAGCTTCTCCGAAAACCCCTTCGTAAACTGTTGCAGCTCCTTATATGAGAACTTCATTGGTGCACCAGATGCATAATCAAAAAGTTCATATTTAGCTGATATATACCCTGATTTTTCGCTACCCCAGTAAAACCAGCACCAAAAACCAGTCGCCACTGCAACCAAAGCCAAAAGGATGGCCAAAACAACAACAACAACAACCATCACATGCAACCGTGATTCATCATACTTCCCGGATGTGTCCTTGTAAAGTGGTGGATTCGGAACCGCTTGTCCACAAACTTTGACGAATGAGGTACTCGGGAGAACAGCACCCTGGTAACCACTAACAAAACTAGGTGTTTTCATGTAACAAAATCCACTTCCATCAGCTACTAAAGTGGAAGCAATGCAAGAACCACTTTGAAGACAATTCGACCTACAAGCCGCTATTCCCACGATGAATGTCTGCTCAGAAACCTCAGGAGGATAAGTTAAGAATTTGGTATGTTCCAATTGCAACATGGAAACATCCCCAGGACAATCCTCAAGCTCCACTTTCCTCTTGCACCCTTTTCTTCCATCAATAGGCTCGAAATTCTGAGACGGACATCCGCAAATCGGATTCGAATCTCTGTAATTGCAAATCCCCGTGTCTCCACAGAATCCGAAAACCTGACACTGATCAGTCACGGCAGCCCATGTCGGAGTTACATTCCCAGCCACGCTGTTCCCACTAGTGCTGTAAATCCTCAAATTACCATCATCATCCATCCTCAAGAACCTAAACCCATCATTGCCTTCACCATAATCAGTACTAAAAGCCATGTTAACCATCCCACTTGGGATCGAAGGATCTAAACCAATCAAAATCCCATTAGGCCGCAACATAAACCTTGGAGAACTCAAATTCCCATTGATGGACGAGTTGAACCCTAAACTCCAGTATTCAACAGTATCATTCCATTTCAAAGTAAGATTACCAGATCTATCAAGAGACAACGAGTAAGACCCAGAGTGTAAAATCTTACCAACGGTGAAATTCTGTGAAGGAACAAGAGTATCAGTAGGGTTCTCGAACGAAGACCATAGTGGAAAACTATCACTATTGAGCAGCTGGAAGTTGCCTGAGTCATCAATCGACGCATGTGAAACTCCTCTGTTAGCAGTACCAGTATCCCAAACAATGGGACCCGAGCCATTAACTAGGCGTAGTGCTCCATTACGAAGCAAATTTAACATCCCACCAGAATCAACAACAACGGCATCTCCAGTGCCATTGTTACTAGCTGACCATACGATAACATTTCCAGGATTGTAAGTGATGGCAAGGAAAAAAGAAGATCGGGTAATTGGAACGAATAAAAGTGAGAAACTGGAGTTGGGTGACGACCATGATTGGTTTCTAGCTGAAGCTCTAAGAGTTGAGGGTAGAGGAATGATAGTGGAAGATGATGAAATGGTGAAGAGGAAATGCAGGAAAAAAATAGCAAACTTGAACATTTTTTTGTTTTGGTATTCCATTTTTACATTTTTTTTAGATTTAAACTAGGGAAATCAATGGACGTGTATGGTGCCTTCGGTTAAAAGGCAAATCATTGAGAACGAAAGGTACGAAAGAGATGGTGTTACCCTTTTCCATGGCGGAAACACTGTTTTCAAGCAAAGAAAAGTTTGGCCGCTAGATAATGCTAATTTTGAAATTAATTGGGTCTAATTTTAAACCGATTTTTTATTATTAATTTTTTTATTAAATTAAAGGTGATTACATATTTATTTTAAGTACTCTCATAATAAACATTTAATCACACATACACCATTTAATAATGAACGTTTAATCACACATACAAATACTGGTGTTTGAACCTATAGCATATAGAAAAAACAACAATTCATTTAATTACGAAAGTAAATTGATTCGTACAATGTTTTTATTTTAAAAAAACCAATTATTAACTATATATAAAAACAACTCCTAACAACATTATTTAGAAAAAATGACTCTCAAACTATATATGTAAAACAACCTCAAGTAATACAAAACAAAACATGTTTTAAAGATTTTATTTTATGTAAAATGAGAGATTCATCAACTTTTTAAATTAATTCATTTAATTTATAGATAAAAGACACTATAAATACATGAAACTCACTTTTTCGCAAGACACAATGTCTTAATTGCGTTTTATTTAATGTGAGGTTTTCAGATCATTTTTCTAAGAAAATTGATTGGGGTTATTTTAAAAAAAAATATTGTTTGGGATTATTATTGGGTTTATTTAAATGATAACGCCAATTAAAAACATAGTCCCTTTGTTATGCAATTGTTTATTATTTAGTATCACTACTACCATTTAAGGGGTAAATATAACTTTTAGGATTTTTTTTGTAATTATATACTTCAAAATTTTAATGGTAATTATGTTTTTTTGAATAAATATTTAATTTTTGTGTGATTATGTATTTAATATTTTTTTAATTCCACGTGTTTAATTATGATTATTCATGTTTATAATTTTAACATTGTTTAGTAAAAGGGATAATATGTGTTATAAATTCAAATTCTATACGTTAAAATTCTAAATGTGAACTATATAATTTTAAAAATATTTGATATCTATTTGTTGGGTGAGAGTTCGATTGAGTAGATTTGAATAAAAAAATTTTGAATTATTTAAGTTTACGACTTTATTTTATGAAATTTTGAAAGTTATTTGAAAATTTTATGAAATTACAATTCGATGTCAATTTAAGTTGAGTTTTTTCTACTCGAGTGGAGTCGAGTTTTTCTCACCCCTATTTAATTGTATAAAAAAATATGAGATCCATTAATTGGCTAAGTGACCAAAGATTTCTATATTATCCTACTTTATGTAATTATAAGTTTGAACCTTGATATTTAACTTAGAAATATAATAACTCTACTCTTAAAAAAATTAAATACCTAATCATATCATAAAAGGTTAATACTTGATTGTGTCATTAAAAAATTAAATATATATTTCTAAAAATGTTTTCAAGCATAAAAAGTGCCAAAGCGATCCACTGCGTATTTAAAATAATAGATTAGACCAAATTATTGACTAATTAATAGACAAAATTATTTCCGAAATTAAAAATATATATTTTGAAAGATAAATGATTGAAAATGATGTAAATATAATAAAGGACATTCTATATAATTCACTCAAATTCTGGTAGATAAACCATTACATTATTTTATGCGGCATTTTTGTATTTATTAATTTATTGACAACATATATAAATTTTATAGATAAAATTATTCGAATTCAAATTTTTTTAAAAAAATATTCTCTTTTATCATTGAGACTAATTGATAAGTTCATGTTATAATTTTTTTAATTAATCATAATATCCAATCTATTAATCGATTAATCCAGATATGATATTATAAAGGCGAGGGTTACTCTCCCAATCTATTTTATTTCATTCGCAAACGTCAATGTTTAAACCTCTAACATTACTTAAGAAATCTAATGTCATCTACTAAAATAATTACGTCATTTTCATGTTTTAAGATTTTTTTTCTTTATAAATATTAACAATAAATTTCATACAAATCATTTCATTGAGAACGAAAGGTACGAACGAGATGTTATTACCCTTTTTCCATGGGGAAACACTGTTTTGAAGCAAAGAAAAGTTTGGCCGCTAGATGATGCCAATTTTGAAATTAATTGGGTCTAATTTTAGACCGCGTTTTCATTTAAAAAATCCCCAATAACTAATTACATATAAAAACAACCTCAAATGACATTATTGAGAAAAATTGATCTTCAAGCTGTTCATATAAAATTATTTCACGTCCTACGAAACATTTTAAAAATATTACTTTTACATAATGTAATATTCATCACTTTTTCAGATAATTTCATTTAATTTATAAATAAAAAGTACTATAAATATATAAAACTCGTTTATAGTAAGACGCAATGTCTTAATTATTTTTTACGGAATGCGAGGTTTGCGAGCCATTTTCCAAAAAAAATTGATTGAGGGTTGTTTTTCCCATAAAAAATATTATTTGAGGGTTATTTTTATGTTTAATTAATTATTGGATTTTTTTAAAAATAATAACGCCAATTTCAAACATGGTCCCTTTGTTATGCAATTGTTTATTGATTGTATCACTACTACCATTTAAGGGGTAAATATAACTTTTAGTATAGATATTTATTTTTTGTGTAATTAGATACTTCAAATTTTTAATGGTATAATTAGGGTTTTTTGTGTAAATAAATATTTAAGGCTTTTTGTGTAATTATGTATCTAATATATTTTTAATTACACATGTTTAATTGTGATTATTCGTGCTTATAATTTTAACATTATTTAGTAAAAGGGATAATTTGTGTTATAAATTCAAATACTATACGTTAAAATTCTAACTGTGAACGTAAATAATATAAAAAATATTTGATATCTAATTGTATGGGTGAGCGTTCGATAAAGTAGAGTCGAATAAAAAAATTGAGGTACTCTAGTTAACGAGTCCTATTTTATAACCCAAACTTGATTTGGAACTTTTTAGTGGAGTCGAGTTTATAAAATTCGATTCGAGTTTTCGAGTTTTTGTTTAAATTTAATTATAAATATTTATAATATTATGATACTATTTGATTCCAATTTAAATATTTTTTATTATTATATACAATAAATGTATATTTCTTCATTTTTTTATATGTGATATACATATATCATACTGAGTCGAGAGACTCGACTCAAACTTGAAAATTAGTCCAATTATTACTAAAATTTTCGAGTTATTCGAGCTACTATCCGAGTTATTCGAGTTGTATTTTATAACTCGACTTGAACTTGAAATTTTTCGAGTCGAGTCGAGTTTATGAAATTATAATTCGATGTCAATTCAAGTCGAGTTTTTTCGACTCAAGTCAAGTCAAAAAAATTAGTTTTTCGAGTCGAGTTATATTTTGCTCACCCCTATTTAATTGTACAAAAAATAAAAAAAAATCTGAGATCCATTAATTGGCTAAGTGACCAAAGATTTGTATATTATCCTACGTTATGTGACTGTAAGTGTAAACCCTAATATTTAGATTAGAAATATAATAACTCTACACTTAAAAAAATCTAATTTCAACAGAAAGTAAAAATTAAATACCTAATCATATCATAAAAGGTTAATACTTAATTGTATCATTAAAAAATTAAATATTTAACTACATAATTATATTATACATAAATAATAAAAATAGATCTCAAAAGTTAAATATTTCTAAAAATGTTTTCAACCATAAAAAATGTCAAAGTGATGCCACTACGTATTTAAAATAATAAATCAGACGGATTGCCCTCAACACAGACGGTGTTGTCTCCAACTCCAACTCCCTTGACTCAGCAGGTGGGCTTCTCTGTGACTCTTGAAAATTGGCTCGGAGGTTACTCTAAATCTCTTGGAATTACTTCACCTGTTCATGCTGAGCTATAGGGATTATTTGAAGGTCTCAAACTTGCACGGTCTCAAGGTTACCAGACAGTGCAGTGTCAAGTTGATAGCAGTGACGTCTTCAACATGGTCTCTTCTGCAAACGCAAGATCAAGTCCTTTTTTCTTGTTCGATCTATTACTTCTTTGCGTGATAGAGGAGGGGCCATTGAGTACAAGCTCATCCGCCGAGAAGCCAACGTTGCTGCTGATATCCTTGCCAAGTCGTCTTTCCAACAAATTTGTCACACCCCAATTTAGGGGTTAAATTTTAAAAATTATGAAGTATTGAATTAAAGTGGTATTTTGGAATAAATTAAGGATTAAAGTGAAAAATTACAAAGTTGGTAAATCATTTTGGGAAGTGCAGGAAATTCAGGGACCTAGTTCTGAATTTACTCATTTTTCTTATATGCTGAAAAATAAAACCCCATAATGTTTTCCCCAATTTCCTTCCCCGTTAACCCTCCTTTGTAGCTCGATTCTCCACCATCCGACCACCGTTCGTCGATCCGAAACCACCCATAGACTCACCATCGAACGATGAACAAAACCCGACCTTTATTCCATCATGAATCATCTTCGTTCGTCGTAAAACTCAACCAGAAGCTTCATCGGTTTTAACTCGATCGTCGTTGGTTTTTCATCGATTCCAATCAATCCGGCCACCCGTTCATCACACCTCTTACACCATCAGACTCACCATCACCGTGCGCTCAAAACCCGACCAAAATCATCGTGCCTTTGTTGATCTGTTGTCGTCACTCGTCGACCACCGTCGGAGAAGTTGGTACGTTTTAAAATTCTATGATATGCTATGTTTTGATGAAAAATAACACTTGCACGAGACTCTCGAGGACTCGATCTACAAATCTGAAAATTTTCATGCCAAACGATGACCGAAGCCGTCGCACGCGCCGCCCCCTGAGAGTGGGCGTCGTCTGTCATCCAGGGGAGCCGTTTGAGCCGAGTCGAGCCGCCTGGACCGAGCCGTTGACTGTTGACCGTTGACTTTGACAAAAAAAGTCAAAATTTTTGAA